AAGTTTATAAAATGCATTTATTACATCTATTCAAATGACCACATTTTTCCCTCTATTAATCTACTGTGGTAATTTGTTTGGATTTTTACACATCATCCTATGCTTGCATACCTACCAGAGTCCAATTTAGAGGTAAAGTAGTGTCTTTTTATGCACAGCTGAAACTGATTTGCTAGTGTCTTTAGATTTTCTGCATCTGCATTCATTAGTAGACCTGTGATTTTGTTCTGGTAATGTGCGTCTCTGGATGTAGCAGGGTTATGTTACCTCTCTCAGGATGAGCTGAAGTAGTCTCTCTTTTTCCAATGCCTGGAAGAATTTGTATAAACTGAGATGATTTGTTGCTTCAAAGTTTAGTAGACAAGCCTGCCAAATCATCTGGCTATGTATTTTTGTAATGGGGAGATTATTAACCACTTCTTCAATTTAATAGTCCTAGTACTAAACTTTCACGTTTTCTTTTGAGACAGTGTTTTGTTCTGTTGCCAGTCTGAAATGCAGTGACACAATCTTGGCTCAGTGCAACCTCCACCTCCCGGGTCCAAGCGATTCTCTTGCCTCAGCCTTCTGAGTAGCTGGGATTACAGGCACGCACCACCACACCCAGCTAATTTTTGTATTTTTAGTAGAGATGGGGTTTTGCCATGTTGGCCAGGCTGGTCTCCAACTCCTGACCTCAAGTGATCTGTCTGCCTCTGCCTCCCAAAGTGCTGGAATTACAGGTGTGAGGCACTGTGCCCAGTCTAAACTTTCAACCTTTTTACTTCTTGAGTCAGTTCTGATAATTTTAGGGCTGGGCGCGGTGGTTCATGCCTGTAATTTCAGCACTTTGACAGGTCGAGGCAGCTGGATCACGAGGTCAAGAGATCGAGACCATCTGGCCAACATGGTGAAACCCCGTTCCTACCAAAAATACAAAAATTAGCTGGGCATGGTGGTGCGCACCTGTAGTCCCAGCTACTTGGGAGGCTGAGGCAGGAGAATCGCTGGAACCCAGGAGGTGGAGGCTGCAGTGAGCCGAGATCATGCCACTGCACTCCAGCCTGGCAACAGAGAGAGACTCCATCTTACAAAAAAAAAAAAAAAAGTTCTGATAATTTTGAAAAGGAATTTGTCCATTTCACATAAGTTTTCAAAACTGTTGGCAAGTAGTTGTTAATATTTTCCTTTTAAAAATAACTTTATTAAGGTATAATTTACATGCAGTAAAGTCCCCCCTCGCCCCAGGAGTCAATCCCCAACCCTAGTCCTAGGCAGTGATCTGATTTCTGTAACTGTTGTTCATTCTAGAATTTTACACGAATGGGACCTTCTGTGTCTAAATACTTTTACTCAGCATAAAGATGTTGAGAGTCATCTGAATTATGTGTGTCAGTAGTTCATTCCTTTTTATACATATTATTCCACTGTACGAATATACCACAATTTGTCTATCCAAATTGCTACTCAGCAAAGTCTCAGGATACAAAATCAACACACAAAAATCACTAGCATTCCTACACACCACCAACAGCCAAACCAGGAACAAACTCGTATTCGCAATTGCCACAAAAAGAATAAAATGCGTAGGAATACAGCTAACCAGCAAGGTGAAGAATCTCTACAAGGAGAACTACAAAACACTACTCAAAGAAATCAGAGATGACACAAACAAATGGAAACACACTCCATGCTCATGGATAGGAAGAATCAATATCACTAAAAGGGCCATACTACCCAAAACAGTTTACAGATTTAATGCTATTTCTATCAAACTACCAAAGACATTCCTCACAGAACATTTTAAAATTCATACGGAACCAAAAAAGAGCCCAAAGAGTCAAGGCAGTCCTAAGCAAAAAGAATAAAGCTGGAGGCATCATGCTACCTGACTTCAAACTATACTACAGGGCTACAGTAACCAAAACAGC